CTACAAAAATCTCTCTACTTGGGAAGACCCTCCCCCTAAATTCCTGGTTTCTCAGGATGAGATAAGGAGGTGGGTGGTTGGCAGGGTACCCCTGGAACGCTCCCTTCCCTCTGCCGGTGGGCTCAGTTTGCTAAGGACACCTGGAAGCTTCCTGCCCTCTCACTACAACATCACCTGGTTTCTAAGGCTCTTTTTTTCTCTCTCTCTACACAGGGAAAGGAGTGTTATGGAGTGTTCCCATAAAGGTTATCCATGTGAACTGAGCAGAGACCAAGCAGGCCAAAGCCCACACGGGCCACCAGGCACCTGCAGCCTTCCGGGGGCGGCTAGAGCAACGAACCTAGACGTGCTTTTCCAGCGAGTTCAGTGCCTGAAAACCACATTCACTGCTTGTCCCTGGGTCCCCACTGCACATTTTCTGAACTGTCAAGTCTTGATGACTTTCCCACTCTTTCAGACACCCTACTGACCAACACGCTAGAACAAGAGAAATACCTTAAAGAACATGAGTGTTGGCACTGTGTAGACTGCCTACCAAAACAGTGTTCTTGATTCACCTGAAACAGTTCCCTTCAATCAGACAAGGGCCCTCTAAGTTGACTTTTAAAAGCCTTAGGGGCAAACTCCGGGATGTAACAAAAAAGCAAAAGTAGCTACCTACTTTTAACCAGGGTTTTGTTTGTCATGATACCCATTTTTTTTTCCTACCACCCAGAATCTGCTTCAGGTGACAGGCACTCACCCCTAAATCCAGAGGAAAAGCAGTGTCCTTCAGGTACAAAGTCAATGGCACCGCCTGGCCAGGAGGGCAGCATTGGCTCCTTGTCTGTTCCATTTGTGGTGAAAGGTTTGCACTTAGCCATGAACCTGCTCTCCCTTTCCAGGTGCCAACCTCACCACTAAGAATGACCTTTGCAAGGGAATTCTGTCTGCTGGCCATGGGACAAGCCAAAGAGGCTCCTTGGCTCACCTCAGAAATCAAACTCACCACCCCGGCCTTGGCTCCTTTCAACGAGTCTCACAGACAATGCTTTCACAATGTCACACGTGTGCTACTTAAGTATATTCACCGTTCTGTGGGGGAAGAACCCCAGGGAAGGGCTGAGAGAAATCCACAGAAACTTGGGCCCCGTGATACCCTACAATATCACTTAGAACCTGGAACAAGGGCAAGGCCAGGATACCCAACTTCCAAACGTCTTTCTTCAAGAACTTCCATCCTGATGTGTTGCCACAGGGGCTTCCTAAGAATTGCTCACAAGAGAGGAGCATTTGGTTGGCATTTTGGCACCTCCATTCTTGTCATTCCCAGAGTGACACCACCCCAACTCCCAAATCTGTTCTCAGAAACATAAGCAAGAAAACTCTTCAGGGACCCAGCGGAGCCCGGATCAAGTGCACTGGGCTCCCTGCCAGGGCAAGGAACACAATTGGATTCAGTTTTTAAAAATAAATAAATAAATAAAAAGCTATTTTTTTTCTTTTCCCTTTCCTGTGTTCTTGGAGAGGGCTTCAAGAAGCTCCCCCCAAAGTGTCCACATGAGCGTGAACGCAGTCAGAACAAGGACCGCCCAAGGGTCCTGCCTCCCCGGATGGCATTAGGGTGTGCTGAGCCCCTACAAGGTGCAGATAGGAACCTTTGCCAGGGACGGCGACCTCCCCTTCGTACTGCACTTCAAGGGATCTTGGCATGGTAAATAGGGGGCCGGTTCCAGGAACAGCATCAAGTGGCTGGGGCTGGGAGGAAGCGATCTGAAACTCCAGCGTAAGCTTTCAACAAGCCACACAAACCAAAGTCACTCCAAAACAACAACATGCAGTCTAACCATGGGGCTTAGTCTACAAAAGCAGCTAACACCCCTCCACGTGACCCCCTAAGGAGGCCCAAGGTCACAGTCTCTAACCACCATCAACTAGAGACAGCCTAGTATACTCTCTTCACACACAGGCCCAGCAGTAACATTCTCTTACAGCAAGGAATCTCAGAGGAAAGAGAAAAGGGGGAAATGGTGAGGCCCTCTAGAAGTCAGAACTTGGCTTCTAGACTGGACTTGACCTTCAGCCATGAGATGGGCATCTAGCTGGGCCTTCAATTGCTCTGCTTTTCTCCTCCCTAAAACAAAATGGCTCAACAATAAGTCAACTCTAAGGATCCTTCCAGTCTAAATCTCACTGGAGAATCTACAGCACCAAATATTTCGAATGAAGACAATGACAACTTTCTCTTTATAGCAACTATCAGCCCCTTGGGGACTTTTCCTGTTGGGAACTTTCCAGCAGGCTGATGTTTAGTGCAGAGAGGACTGCGCTGAACACACACCAGAGGAGGGCTACTCCAATGAAGCTTTTCCAATTCAACGGAGCCCAGGAACTCAGTCTTCCAAGTCTTTATTCTGAAATGAGTGCTTAAACATACACACACCCCAAAAACACCAACACTCTGATCCGCTTCATTTTTAATCTCTCAGAGCTGCTCTTTTTTTTTTTTTTTCCTGGAATTAGGAACATTTTATAAGTTAAAATAGGCCTAGAGAGGCAAAAGCCAGCCAGGGCCCTGGGACAATTCAAGAGGCCCTTGATTTTTCACGGACTTGATAGTGCTGACTTATTCTGTTCTTTGGAAAGGATTTTCCTTGTCCCGGATTAAATACTAGTGACAGGCAAAGAGCAGACTCAGGAAAAACAAATAATGGGCTTTTATCATGGCTCTCCTTCTGGCTTGGCTATTAACTAATGGAGCAGCCTAAAGCACATTACTAAACCTTTGCAAATCTCAGTTTACTCATCTGCCAGAGGCGGGGAATAGCACACCAGTTCTCTCCCAGCCCCACCACAGCATTTGACAGGGAAATGGGATAAAGCCAGGAGTGACATAGCTCTCTCCAAAAGGCAGGCATTTGCTGCATGTGCAGAATTACACCTGCTATTAATTAACTGTGGTGGTTAAATAAACGCTCGATCCAGGAGATCCACAGAGGTTGAAAACTCACCCCAAGACCCGAAAGCCAAGTCAGGTTTCCAAAAGTCTACCAAGTTGATGGGAAACGCGTTGAAAAACCTGAGTGGCTTCACAGTTCAGTTTTCAGAGTGAAGGTCACGGGCAGCAGGGCAGACTGGGGTTGGCATGGTCTGTGGGGGCGAACAACCAGGGTTTCTATGGTCTCTGCCCTTGGCTGACCACCTGAGCCCTTTAAGAAAGAAACCTCTGAATCGTCCCCTGGCTTCTCCAACAAAGTAGAAAATGACTTCAGCAAGGGAGCCTGCAGAAACTGAACCATGCTTATCTCAGTCTGAATGCATGACACATGAAATGACTTAATCATTATACCTATTACAGGTGGCGTCCGACTTTGTCCGCCAATTAAGAAAGGAAGGGGCTCCACCTAGACCACTTAGGTGCAATTATCTCACTGCCTCATTGTATTCCAGGCCCCAAAAACCACGTGGAAAAAGCCTTCTGTCTGGCTAGGCTGGAGAATGCAATCAACCAAGTTGTAGAGCTGCAGAGAAAATTCTAGAACAGGCTCTCCCCCCCACCCACCCCTCGCCACCTATATTGGTGTGTATCTCATGCAGTCCCAGCCCTGTGGTGACATTCCAAACTCCTATCAACCCAAGAAGTCCTAGGGGACACGCAGCAGAGGCACTGGCACCCCCAAGCTTAACTTGCCCAGCTCAGTGCCCCAGGAGGTGCCAACAGCGCGACCTCTGCAGGCAACACTGAGTTGCACTGGCTTTACCTCCCAGGGTCCCCACAGGGCCCAGGGGGCTGTTTCTCCGCACCCATTCCCCAGGCTCATCCCACACCACCCAGCTCCTGGTGGGAGCTGACACACGTCTTGCAACTCAGAGCTACGTGGGTCTCGCCTGAACCCTTGTTTGCAGGTGCTAAAGATCACAGGCCCTGGTGCACCGCCACGCTCCTGGTTATACAAGAGCACATGGCCTCTGTCACGGAAGGGTCACTCGGGAACGCATCGGATGGACTTGGCGCTGGACAAGGAAGGAAGCGGCACAGGGCGAGGGTCGCTGACTGCCCGGTGTTGCCCGCACCCCCTCGGCCACGCTGCCTTGACTGGCTTCGCGCGCCCTGCTGCCTCCGGGACTGTGGCTGAGCCGTTGTGAAATCAGCAAGAAGGTGCAAATGTAGGAGAGAGGGAGGAAGAAAGGGAAGCCCGGGCGGGAATAATCCCCTCTGAGTCACCATTTCCTGAATGCCAGAGCTCGCTGCACGCGGGGATCTGGAGCCCGCGCCGAGCTCGCGGAGGTCGAGCCCCGCGCCAGGTCGCGACGGGACCCCCGGGAGAGGGAGGTGGGGGGCGGGGACCCCGGCCCGGCACCCGCATGCTGGGGCGCCCTCGCGTGGCTGCGTCGCAACCCCCGGCGCTCCGGGCTCGGCGCGGACGGCGCTCCCCGCGGCGGAAGAAACAAGACACGCAGAAAGTTTCCGAGCCAGGCGGTTTGCGAAACCACGAAGCCGGATCCCGGGGCCCCGAGGCGCAGGCTTGGCGCGAGCGGGGAGCCCAGCTCGAGGCGACCTCGCGGAGCAGGGGGGCCTCCACGGACCCCGCCCGCCCCCTCCCACTGCCCTGGACCTCCAAGACCCCAGGGGCGCGGGGCTTGTCTCCGCGTCGCGCCTCCTCCTCACGGCCAAGCGGGGAGAGGAGGCAGGGTCCAGGCCAGGACGGGGCACCCCTTGCACCCCGGCGACAAGGGCTGCCGTGCTCCGGCGTTTGCTTTATGCGTTTTGTTCATTGAAGGGAGGGGGCGCGCCAACTCCCGTGGCGCATTGTGAGCCCCGGCGAGCTGGATTCTGAGTGCCCCCCTCCCAAGAGCCCACCTGGAGTCCCCCACCCCACCCAGGGCTGACGAGTGGGACCCTCAAACGGCCGGCCTACCCCAGCTCCGCCCCGGGAGTCTGGGAGCGGATGCTCCGCCGGGACGCTCCCACCTCCCTCGGGGGGCGGCGGCGGCGGGGCCCGGCCGGGAGCGGCGCCTACCTCATCCACGGTGAGCGGCATGCAGATCCGGTACTCCTTCAGAAGCATGGTCCTGCCGGCCGCGGACCCTGGGGTGTGAACTAGGGTGTTTTGGGGCTGGGGGCGCCCCCGGACCAGCGAGACTGCCGCCTCGGCACAGGGCAGGGCGCTGGGCGCAGACGGGCGAGGCAGCCGCGGCGGTGCGCGCTCAGCTCCGGGCTTCCTCCTCCGAGCCCCAGAGCATGTCAGGGTTTTGGGTCCCAGCGCTCGCGGCTCCCCGCCTCCTTCCTCGGTGAGGTGGTTCTCCCAGAACGCGGTGTTGCAAAGTCAGGGAGCGAGAGAGAGGAAGGTGGACCTCCCGCTGGAGACGGCTTGGCTCGGCGGCAGCCCCCGGGGCGGTCGCAGCGGTCGCCGATTCAGGACATGCCCGGCAACGGGCAAGCGAGGAAGGCAGAGCTTTCCAAAAAAAAAATTGGAAGGAAATGCACAGAAGTCAACCGCTCAGTTCGCCTGAGGAGGCAGAAGAGCCCAGCCCGGTCGGCGCGCCCCGTGCTAATGTCACCGGGAGCCGAGATGCTGCTCCCCGGCCAGACAAAGGCTCGCTCGGCGCCTCTTCCTGGGCGGTAAACAAGGTTTCCTGCGCTTTGCGGGACAGGTCCCCGAGCCGCTCCCGTGCTGAGCTGGGAGAGAAAAGGGGAAGCCGCCGCCGCCGCTCGACTCTACCCGGCCGGGGCCCCGGTGCCTCCACCCTCGGCGGGCGGCTGCCAGGGGCGGGCGAGAGGAAGCTGGCGCCTTCCGTGCGCGCGTCCCCTCCCCCGAGCCCCTGGGCCCCCCGAGCGCCGTGCGCGCCCGCGAGTTTGCAGCCGGCGCGCCGGGGCCGAGAGTCCGCGCCGAGCCGCAGGGAGCCTGGGGCCGGGAGGTGGTGCGGGAGGAGCGAGCGCGCCGGGGCTGACATCAGCAGCGGCCGCGGCGGGGAGGGTAGCCCCATCCGGCCAATAGGGAAATGGCAGCGAATGTGGAGGATTTAAACAAAACAGCATGTCTCTTTCCCCCCTGGCTGCGGGCCGTGGCTAGACAGGGCACCGGGCAGGGGGCGGCTCGGAGCGCCCGGTGGCCTGGGAGTCCCCCCCACCCCAACCCCCGGTGTTCCGTCAGCGCTTCTACTGCCAGGGCGCAACCAGGGACCCTTGACCTTCGCCTGGGGGCGGGGGTAACTAGGGAGAATTTTTATTTTTTATTTTCACAAACGCCCACCAGGAGCGTTTGCACTTTGGCCCGCTAAGCAACGCCGGTGCTGGGGAGGCCTTGGGGCGGGAGCTTGTTTCAGAAAAGAGATTCTACGGGTGCAGCCCTGTGGATGACAATGAGGTTCAGACAGGAAGAACTGCACCCTCCCCGGGAGCCTGCCCCCTCGGCCTGGCCCAGCTCCTGCTTTTCCCCAGCACAAAGAATAGGTTTTGGCGTCAGCGCTCCTGAGTGCAGAAAGTCACCGTGAAATGTCAGTGAGAATGCTGGCAGTGTTGGTATTCGCTCCCTGTGAAGCAGAGCCCTCGCGTTAGCTGCAAGCAGCACATTCCTGAGGTCCCTGGGAAGCAGCTTGTAACTGCTCGGGTCTGTGTTTCATTTGTCTGGTATTTTGGAGATTGTTTTTCTGAAAAGTTAGTGGATGGAAAAAAAAAAGAGAGAGAGAGAAAGAAAGAGCTACCCTCAGTGACTCCTGAAACTGACCTGGAACCTGGAAACAACATCCGTTCTCCAAAAACTATCCACGCTCTTATATGGCACACATAGAGCTTGGTGGTGATCCAGCCCCCATATTATAGCAATCGTGTTTAATGATGATGAGGGAGGGATTTAGGGGAGCCGATGAAGGGACTGGTATGGCAGTGCCTGCTAGGGGAGATGACATCCTATGACTAGCTGGCTTATCTTGGGGTGAAAAGTCTTTTCCAGATGCGCAGTTGCCTTGCAAAGATTCCCAGCAACTAATTAAAGTGAAACCAAATTCCTCGAGGTGGAGAGTCTAAATCTGACACTGGATTCTAACACATTGAACATCGGTGATACGGCAAGACGCTCTTCCCTCTGCTGCTGGAAAGTAAGTGCAGGTGGCTTCGCTCCGGCCCCTTGTCATCCTCCCAGAAGCTGCCAGCCCCTCCTGCCACACAGGCACCTCGGGGCATGGGGATGTGTGGGCGCCCTACCTGGCTTGCTAGCTGTTTCCCATCCCTGGTGCCGGAGCACTCTGCTGATGGGTGGCCCTGGGGAGCACCTGCTCTGGGTTTCCCAAGTTGCACATTGCCCCCTCTGCAGTCATCTCTCAGGGTCTGTGGGGCACTGGTGTTAGGACTGCTACAGACACCCAAATGGCCGGTGCCCAGGCGCCTTAGGGAAAATGACAGTATTTGCTTACAACCCTCATTTCAGATCACCTCTGGGTGACTTATAATACCTAATATGCATCATAAATAATTGTAATAACAACATGGGGAAAAAAACGTATATATTCAGTATAGATGCTATTTTTTAAACTGTTTTTATGCATACATCTTTTTTTAAAAAAAAGATTCATTTATTTTTATTGTAAAGGTAGATTTACAGAGAGGAGAGAAAGATCTTCTATTCTCTGGTTCATTCCCCAAGTGACTGCAACAACTGAAGCTGAACCTATCTGAAGCCAGGAGCTTCTTACCACTCTCCCACCTGGGTGCAGGGTCCCAAGGCCCTGGGTCTTCCTCGACTGCTTTCCTAGGCCACAAGCAGGGAGCTGGATGGTAAGTGGAGCAGCCAGGATACAAACCAGTGCCCATATGGGATCTTGGCACATGCAAGACAAGAACTTTAGCCACTAAGCTAACTATGTCAGACCCATCCCTGTTTTTAAGTGTTTATTTGCTTATTTATTTGAAAGAAGAAATAATCGAGAGATTTTCCACTAGCTGGTTTGCTCCCCCAAATGTCTGCTACAGCTACAACTAGGCCAGGCTGAAGTCAGGAGCCTGGAACTCCAGCTGGGTCTCCCCTGAGGATGGTAGGGGACCATAGACTTGAACCATCACTTGCTGTGCATTAGCAAGAAGCTGGATGGGAAGTGGAGGCAGGATTTGAACCTAGACCTTCTTGATATGGGATGTGGATATCCCAAACCTAGGATCATCTGCTAGATAACAAAACCTACCCCTAAAAAGACATCTCCTAGGGAGTGGACCTGGTGGAATGGTAGGTTAAGACTCCACTTAGAGGCCCGGCGCGATAGTATAGCGGTTAAAGCCCTCGCCTTGAACGTACCAGCAGGATCCCATATGGGCACCGGTTCTAATCCCATCCAGCTCCCTGCTTATGGCCTGGGAAAGCAGTTGAGGACGGCCCAATGCCTTGGGACCCTGCACCCACATGGGAGACCCGGAAGAAGCTCCTGGCTCCTGGCTTCAGATTAGCTCAGCACTAGCCACTGTGGCCGCTTGGGAAGTGAACCATTGGACGGAAGGTCTTCCTTTCTGTCTCTCCTCCTCTCTGTATATCTGTCTTCCCAATAAAAATAATAAATATATCTTAAAAAAAAAAAAAAGACTTCACTTGGGACACCTGTATCCCATATCAGGGTGGCTCAAATCCCAGCTACTCTGCACTTCTGATTCAACTTCCTGTTACTGCCTCAAATGGCAGCCAATGATGACACAAGGATTTGGGTCCCTGTTAGCCACATGGGAAACCAGAATGGACCTTCTAGCTCCTGGCTTCGGCCTAGCCTCCCACTGGCTGGAGCAGGCATTCGGGTAGTGATTCGGGAGATAAAAGACTCCTCTCTCTCTTGCTTTTCAGATAACTAAGACCACGTATTTCCTGTATATTCTTCCAATGGTTTATGGAATCCATGCACCCAAAACCCCAAGTGTGTGGCGCTATTGGTGTTGTAAGGTAGATGTGCGTTGTCCATCAACCCATCAGCACCCTCACCACATACAGCTTGTGCAAGCACAGCTCTCATCCTGCGCTCTCCACGGCTTGCAGTGATTCTCCGTTGGCCTGTGTTTCAAGGCTTTGCACCGGCTTTTCCCATGCTCACCCGTGCCCCTGCTCCAACCCCACCCTGATCTTGAGGTTGCCAGTGGGGTGGGCAGAGCTAGCTCTCTTTGTACTTGGACCCTCCCACTGCCTTCACAGAGAATGCTGCCCAACCCGACCCCAGCCCCAAGCCAGGTCTTGACAATTCATGTTTTTGGAAATTGACTTGATAAGCGTAAGTGCATCCGGTGGGATAGAGGGATACAGAGGTATTTGGATGGTCCTATTGCCGTGCTGTAGGAGACTTCGGGAAGGATCTGAAACAGGAAGTGAAGAAGGGGAGGATATGTTCAAAAGATTTGGACAGGGCTGGAATGGCTGGCTCTTGGACCACGCCTGCTAAAAGTGCAGGGACCAGTTGTTCATTCATAACTTGCTCACTCCTAGGGAGGAGGGCGCCATCTCCTGGTCAGGCGCGACTGTCCTGAAGAACGTGTTTGAAGTTCTGTGGACCAGAACGTATCTTTGTGGCTTTCCAAGCATGCCAGTCGCCATGGCTACTTCCTGCGAGGCCTTGCCGTCCTCATGATGGGTAGTGGTGAGACTCCATTAACAATATGCCATCTGCCGTTGCTGATCGGCAGGGCTGGAGCACCAAGGACCTAGTGTCGCGGGGGAGAGATGCCTGTGACCCGCATGGTCACGGTGAGTGACAGCCTCTGAAGGCACGGTTTGTCAGAAAGCAAGGTAGGTGGCAGAGAACGCCTGGTTATTTCCCGGCCCTCTGATTCCGCTCAATGACCCACCTTGGTGTTACCTGGGCTTGTACCTGACCCGCCTCTATATGCAGCCTCTGACTCTGGGTCCCCGTTTCTGGAACATTCTAGTACAGGTAAAGTGTGTATCTATGGTCCTGCAGCCTCTGACTCTGGGTCCCCATTTCTGGAATATTCTAGTACAGGTAAAGTGTGCATCTGTGGTCCTTTCCATCTCCCTGTCTCCCACCCACCGTCGCTGTGGTCGTTGGGCTCATCACGGCCATTAGTCCTGGGTCACCTTTCTGGATTCCTCAGCCCACACATCTGGCACATTCGCTCTGGCTCTTGTTTGGATGTTAGTATTGCCTTCATACGTGATGCCAACCATAACCCTCTCCACCTGTTCTCCAGCAGCCCCCACGTGGTGATCTGTAAGCTGCTTACAGCGGGCTGCTGTGAGGAATGGTGAAGGTCGCCAACGTCGGTTAGATGCATGGATGAGTTCACGCGGGCTTCTTGATCTCACGCTATTGACATGTTGTTGGACCCTTCTTAGGCTCCTGTTGGATTCCTTTTTGTGAAGGGTCTGGCAGGGTATTGAGCAGCATCCCTGGCCTCACCCAGCTATGTTGCCATTTGAAATTATTTCTTTGACAGAAAAGCAGAGTTACAGAGAGGGAGAAACAGAGATCTTCCATCTGCTGGCTCACTCCGCCAAATGGTCATAACAGCCAAGCAGAGCCAGTAACGTGGACACGGAGAGGGGCTGAGGATGAAGCACCGACAGATACCAGTGATGGTAGAAGTCTCTAAAAAGTCTTGCTTTACTGTTCCTTCATCTCTCCTTATATACTCTCCCCCATCCTCATTTAGCAGGATATTGGATACAGATGAGTCCAGTTAGTCTAAGTGTTTTTAGCCACAAGTCCAGTTCCTGTTCCTGCCCAGCTCGACGAATGCTAATCAACTCCTAGGCCCACAACACCTTCACATTTTGACATAATCGGGCACTGGCACCACTTCTCCGTTCACTTTGTAGTCTGTATTGTGCCAGCATTTGCCACTGGGTGAATCTGAGCCATTCCTGTCTTCCTTTGACTTCCCCATAACTATCTTTTTATTTCTTTTTTTCTTTCTCTCTTTCCTTCTTTCTTTCTCTATATT